CACTGCCGGCTGGTCTTTTTTTTTTTTTTTTTAGACAGAGTCTCTATCACCCAGGCTGGAGTGCAGGGGCATCATCTCAGCTCACTGCAACCTCCGCCTCCTGGGTTCAAGCGATTCTCCTCCCTCAGCCTCCCAAGTAGCTGGGATTACAGGCATGCCCAACCATGCTCGGCTAACTTTTGTATTGACTGTTGATTCTTTTTTTTTTTTTTTGAGACAGCGTCTCGCTCTGTTGCCCAGGCTAGAGTGCAGTGGCACGATCTCGGCTCACTGCAAGCTCCGCCTCCCGGGTTCACACCATTCTCCTACCTCAGCCTCCCGAGTAGCTGGGACTGCAGACGCCTGCCACCATGCCCGGCTAATTTTTTGTATTTTTAGTAGAGACGAGGTTTCACCATTCACAGGATGGTCTCGATCTCCTGACCTCGTGATCTGCCCACCTCGACCTCCCAAAGTGCTGGGATTACAGGCGTGAGCCACCGTGCCTGTCCAGACTGTTGATTCTTTACCAATTATGTGTTTAGTCCTGCAACCATTCCTCCCACTTTCTAGATAAAAATATCAAGATTCCCAAAGGAAGAATTGTCCCACAATTTCCCCATAGTGTTTGCTGTCTCCTCTGTTGCAATGAGCCAGTATACTCAGGTTTGACTACAAGTTTGTTCCTGATGGTTATAGACTGGAGCACATCAACACTGTAGTGTAATGCCATTCTGATTCTTTGTTGTTTGCCTTAAACTGGTCTCCATCTCCCCTCCCAAAAGCTTATAGAATCTTCTACCTGTTCCTACTATTTTGAAATTTCATGATCTATTTTCATCCGCCATGCTGGGTACTCAGTGTGCTCTTTCAATATAGGAATTTATATTTTGGAGGTATCATCCCAAAGATGTTTATGCATATAAAATTAAAGGTATATATTTATTTCCTGCAGCTACCATCACCCTTTTGATAGACTTTTGCTGCATAATAAACCCTTCCAAGCTTATTGACTTAGAATAACAATAATTTATTATTTTTAGTGATTCTGTGAGTTGGCTTGGACATTCTTCTGGTCCAAGCTGATTCATTTGGGGCTGGATGGTCTAGGATGGCCTCACTCACACATCTGGGGTATGGCTGGATAGGTTGGAACAAGTGGGATGCATGGATCTTTTTCTTCATGTGATCTCTCCAGCAGGCTTGCTTAGGGGCGGTCTTCAGATCATGGTCTCAGGATTTCAAATGAAGCAAAAAGCAGGCAATCCCCCCATGTGCAAGCCTCTCTTCTGCCAGGTTTGCGAAGGCACCAACATTTACCCAAAGCAAATCACATAGCCAATCCCAGATTCAACAGGGGAGAAATAGACTCTCTTGATGAGAGAAGCTGCAAATTATAACCACCATTTTCTTCAGTCTATCACAGTGTACCATACTGGACTATCAGTAGCTTCCTCCTCTTTCTTTCTCTCTTTCTTTCTCTTTCTCTTTCTCTTTCTCTCTTTCTCTCTTTCTCTCTCTCTCTCTCTCTCTCCTTCCTCCTTCCCTCCTTCCCTCCCTTCCTTCCTTTCTCTTTCTTTCTCTCTTTCTTTTTCTTTTTGTTTCTTTTTTTTTGAGACGGAGTCTCGCTCTGTTGCCCAGCCTGGAGTGCAATGGCGCCATCTCGGCTCATTGCAACCTCTGCCTCCCGGGTTCACACCATTCTCCTGCCTCAGGCTCCTGAGTAGCTGGGACTACAGGTGTCCACCACCACGCCTGGCTAATTTTTTGTATTTTTAGTAGAGACGGGGTTTCACCATGTTAGCCAGGATGATCTCAATCTCTTGACTTCATGATCCGCCCGCCTCAGCCTCCCAAAGTGCTGGGATTACAGGCGTGCGCCACTGTGCTGGCCATGACACAAGTTTAAAAGAATAATTTTTCTTTTTCTCTTCTTTTCTTTTTTTTTTTTTTTTGAGACAGAGTCTCTTTCTTTCTCCAGGCTGGAGTGCAGTGGTGTGATCTCGGCTCACTGCAACCTCCGCCTCCCGGATTCCAGCGATTCTCCTGCCTCAGTCCTCTGAGTAACTAGGATTACAGGTGCCTGCCACCACGGCCGGCTAATTTGTGTATTTTTAGTAGAGAAGGGGTTTCACCAAGTTGGCCAGGATGGTCTCGATCTCTTGACCTCATGATTCGCCTGCCTCGGCCTCCCAAAGTGCTGAGATTACAGGCGTGAGTCACCTTGCCCGGCTAAAAGAATATTTTATTTTATTTTATTTTATTATTTTATTTTATTTTTTGAGACGGAGTTTTGCTCTTTTGCCCAGGTTGCAGTGCAGTGGTGTGATCTCTGCTCACTGTAACCTCTGCCTTCTGGTTTCAAGCAATTCTCCTGCCTCAGCATCCTGGGTAGCTGGGTTTACAGGCACCAGCCACCACACCTGGGTAATTTTTGTATTTTTACTAGAGATGGGATTTCACCATGTTGGCCAGGCTGGTCTCCAACTCCTGACCTCGTGATTGACCCACCTTGGTCGCCCAAAGTGCTGGGATTACAGGCGTGAGCCACCTCACCTGGCCTAAAAGAATAATTTTAAAAATTCTTTTTTTGGTCAGGTGTGGTGGCTCACGCCTGTAATCCCAGGACTTTGGGAGGCCAAAGTGGGTGAATCACCTGAGGTCAGGAGTGTGAGACCAGCCTGGCCAATATGGTAAAACCCCATCTCTACTAAAAATACAAAAAATTAGCCGGGGGTGGTGGTGTGAGCATGTGCTCCCAACTACTTGGGAGACTGAGGTGGGAGAATCACTTAACCCGGAAGGAGAAGGTTGTAGGAAGCCAAGATTGTGCTACTGCACTGCAGACTGGGCAACAGAGAGAGATTCTGTCAAGAAAAAAGAAAAAAACCCCAAAAAACAGCAAGCAAGGACCTCATGGCTGGCAAGATCCAAACCAGTAAAGGGGCAGCTCCTCAGAGATAGGCATGTGCATTCGAGAAAAAAAGTATCCTTAACATGACTTCATATGATAATCAGCTCGTTAAAACTCATGTGTGTACTAAAAATTATGGGATGGAGGCAGCAAGCAAGCACACAAGGGCCAAAGCAAGCCACCCACCTATCAATCTAAAGGCAAACACTGGCTAAAGATGAGACATCCTTGTGAAGAGAAGAAAAATAAACACATATAAAAAGACCCAAAGTACACCAAACTAATACTGATCTCATCTCCCAGAGGTCAGCCCACTCTCCCCACTCTGAGAGTGTTACTGTGCTTAATAAACTTTTGCTTTGCTTTGCTGCTTTGTGTGTGCCATGTACAATTCTTTGTTTGGGACACCAAGAGCCTGGAACTGCACAGCACCATCTGGTAAGAATTAGGATTTTTTTTTCCGAAGGGTTACCTTTGGAAAGACTTGCTTCACTACTGTTATCAACCAACAGCCTAATACTTTCCCTCCCTTTTGTGGTTTTGACCAAGCAAGCAAGCAGCATTTCCTCCTGATAAGAGACCACCAACCTAGGAGTGATTCTGGCCAGACTACAGAGGATGTGCATTGAGGGGTTTCATGTCCTCTGCTTCAACTTTTGACGTCAGAGGGCCGCAAACTCCACTCTCAGATAGCTAATGTCACCATTTTATGAACATGGGCCCCACGGAGAGGCACGAAGCTGAATTGCACATCTGCACATGTTTCCTCTTATAAATATTCATATTGGAATGTTATTAGGTATTGCTCCCGTGAAAGATACATTTGCAGAATGTACTCAAATTAGAAGCGTTATATAAACACTATAATGTAGCAATGGCGCATCCAGTTCTCTACACTATAGAAATATCTGCAGTGTAGACATTTCCACAATGACCAAAGATACGTGTACAAGAATAGTGACTGCAGCATTCTTTGTAATCCTAAAACCATGAAACCAACCTCATCTCAAATACTTTTTTTTTTTTGAGGTGGAGTCACACTCTGTTGCCCAGGCTGGAGTGTAGTGATCTCAACTCACTGCAGCCTCCACCTCCCAGGTTCAAATGATTCTCCTGCCTCAGCCTCCCCAGTAGCTGGGATTACAGGCACATGCCACCATGCCTGGCTAACAAAAACATTTTGAAAAGGGTTAAATAAATCATGCACAAACTGAGGAAAAAATACTGTTTTCAAAAAATGATGGAGAGGATCACTAACATGATGAGTGATTCCACTGGTCACATTATTGATAGAGCAATCAGTAAATCCAGGCATATCCTGGAGATACTACTGGACTCCTATTACTAAAATATGAGAAAAATGGAGGCACATAAATTACTCGTTTAAGCGTAGAACGGACTGAATTAGAATTTTATCACACCAGAAGTGGGTTCCTAGTTCTCTGTTTCAGGATTCCTCAGTTACACTGGTGGAAACCCAGCATTTCGGGAGATACCCGGTTAAGAATCTGGTCGGGTAGCCGGGCGTGGTGGCTCACGCCTGTAATCCCAGCACCTTGGGAGGCCGAGGCGGGCGGATCGCTAGGTCAGGAGATCGAGACCACGGTGAAACCCCGTCTCTACTAAAAACACAAAAAATTAGCAGGGCGCGCTTGGGCGACAGAGCGAGACTCCGTCTCAAAAAAAAAAAAAAAAAAAAAAATCTGGTCGGGGAGGTGGGCCGGCCCTTGACATGGATCAGTCATAAATCAGTGGCTTGGTACTCCGGGAAGATAAAATCTTCCCCACTTATGTAGTGATTGACAATGCGTGCATGCTTTAAAAGTTCCAACTAAGCGTCCCTGGGTGGGCTCGAACCACCAACCTTTCGGTTAACAGCCGAACGCGCTAACCGATTGCGCTACAGAGACAAGCACTACTCACTCTACTGGGCAATAGAGGAAGGGCGCACTCACTAAATTTCCTCCCTCCCTTCTATTCTCAGGGCCCGCCTGGCAGGACTACTGAGCAAGGCCTTGGAAAACCAGAGAGATTAGAGCGGTGAGTCGCCGTGGTCAACGTCGGACACCTGCGTGTTAGGAGATTCTGGAGCCAGACGGAGAGCCGAATGGCCTTCGCCGGCCCTGTCCCTCTCCTTCTTCAGAAGCTCCCAGAAACTCCCCAGTCGGCGACCCAGCCCGAGCCTCCTCGGGTACCAAATGAAACTGAACGCCCAGTGGGCTCCCGGGATGGTTCTTCCCGTTCTTTTCGCCGCCTTCATCCGGTGAGGGAGCCTGTGCCCACCCTGCCCAGTCGCTTTCGAGGCCGCTGTGGCGCTTCCGCTGCCATCTTCGGATCCTGTGTTCCGCACGGGGGCTCCACCAGGGCAGGGATGGTGGCGAGGGTCGCTCGTGGGTCCCCTTGCGAGGAGCAGGGTCTGGCACTAGGCGTCTGGGAACCCTGAAATCCTTGGAGGAGTAGCATCATCATGACCCTCTGTGTTCCTTTTGGCAAAGGACTTGCTTCCATTGTTTGTTTGTTCAATTGTCTGTTAAATAAATAAATAAACCCTTTTTCATATATCTTTAAAATTACATTGGTTCTATTATTTTATGATTACAAATAAT